AACTCTAGATTAAAATTAGGAAAATTTCGAACCTGATGACTATTTAAATTTCGACATGATCCTTCTCTTAAAACGCTTTCGTTTACTTCCATATGACTTCCGGTTCCCGAAATATCATATAAAGAAAAGAATAATTTTCAATCGTAAACTTGATTAAACTCCAGATTAAAATTAGGAAAATTTCCCGCTGTAACTTCGAACATAACGATTTCTTGTCAACGAGTGAACGATGATTAGAAGCACGGAACTTTGTCCTTCAAAATGTTTTCTCGTTTATTTCGATACGACTTCCAGTTCCCGAAATATCATCGCGTAAAGAAAAGAGTAACTTTTATGATCCTTTTCTTCTCGTTCCTTATTCGAATCTCTCATCTACACCTCGTTTCACCGATTTATCCTAAACTCGAAACAAGTGTGACAGACGCGATTCCTGAAGAAGCATAGCACTCGTTCAACTCAGTCAGAAAAGATGCAGATCACGAGTCCATTCATAAACTCAAACACTTCTTATACCTCGACCATCGGTCAACCAATCAAAAGTAACTTCGATATTCTTTTCCCAAAATCTCTGTGACGACAATTTTTCACTCTCATCCCGCGTTCCTCCCAATTTCGATTCAACTCTACCAATAAACGAAGCAGACATTCTATATCTCAACACGTTATTATTACTCGTTGCAAATTAATCGAACACACCTCTCCTTTTTTCTTCTTCCAGGATCTCGAGCATGATGCGATGATGAGGGTTCGCGAGAGGGCAAGGGATGTCCGCCCGGCGGGGCTGAGGCTGTCTCCACCCTCGTGAACAGAAGGCGAGGCAAAGCGGGCGAGAAGAACCTCGAGAGCCCGTTGAAAATTCGCTCCCATCTGGTGGCGAAAGAAGAAAACGAAAACGAAAACGAAAACGAAAACGAAAAGAAAGGAAGGGAGAAAATGTGCGGATTCCTGTACGCCCTCGTGTTACTTCTGTCGGTGGTCGACTGCCTGCAGACCAGCGGCGTGACGAGGGGGGGCAGCGGTATTCAGATAGGGACCAGCGATCGCAGCGCGTTCGGGAAGGCTACAGGATACGGGGGGCGTGGCCACTCGGGCGTGAAACTCGGCGAGGCGAGATTTCCCAATTCGACTAGGCAGAGACCGTACACCACCCCCTCCTCGACCACGACGTGGTTCACCTACGCGCCACCGTCGGCCGACAAGAACGGGTACAACAGCACCTTGAAGGTGAGTCGAAATTTTATCGATGGTCGTGGGTTAAACCCGGAGGTGCTATCGATCCCTTCGGATCTTGGATCTCGATAGTTGGCGAGGATGGAGGGGAATTGGGTCGTTGATATTCCTGGCTTTCTGCTTTTTTTTTTTCAAGTCTATGGAAATTATTTATTATCAGGGGATGGTAAAAATGGATTTTTATGGTTATAGTTATCCTTCTATCGAGACAATTGTGAAGAAGAATTTTGTATTAGAGATTGGAGCGAGGAGAAAGTTTGGTAATGAAAACGGATCTTAGAAAGTATTAATTCGAATATTTAAAGATGTGTTAACAAGTTGAGTTATAACTGCAGAATACATATCTTCGAGTTGTATTTTTCTAAAAATTTTAGGAGTTAAATAAAAGCATTCAATCATGGTTCAAAAGTGTTTGGACGAAAGATTTTCGTTTTTCTTTCTCAACCTTGTTCGAATCGAAATTCCAATTCAATTTTAAACTCTGCTTGATTATTATTTGTCCTCTTTATTTTATAAATAGGAAGTGTTTTCAGTTTTCAATAATTTTCTTTTATTCTTGATAAATTCCACGTTTTTGTCCACGCGTTTTTAATCTGGCGAATCGACACGAGGAACGTTCGGATAAAATTAGATGACCCCGTTCCATCCCACGTTTCTGCACGTTCTTCACTCTCGGTATCCCCGATAATTTTCCCTTACGAATAGTTCGAACACCAGTAATCAGGACAACATTCCACGGTTAGAATTCCGAATATCCGAAGACGGATCTTTCGCGATAAAAGCTATTCCTTCTTCCCTTCCTTCCTTTTTTTTCCCCCTCCCTCTTTCTTTCTTTCTCTTCGCTCGCGTGTCTCCAAACGACTTTAGTCGTCCCTTTTCGAAACGATAAAAAATTCAACGTTTCCACGAACGTGAAAGACGGATTTCTCCCCGCAGCTCTTTCGAATATGGCGACCTCCTCCTCCTTCTCTCAAGAAAATCGATTTCACTTCTATATATAAATACGTTGGAATCGGATGATCTTGTTTATAAAGAAAACACTGCCGCGTTTAAAGCGAGGGATTAGTTTTTAAAAGGATATTTTGTTTAAAAGTGGATCGATGTTTTCCTAAAGGATAAAGATTAATCTCGAAGATCGAAATTTTCTTCTTATAAAGTATCTTATTATATACTTTATTTTTGAGCAAAAAAACTCATTTCAAATCCAATCCAAATCGAAACTGAAATTATCGTCCACAAAGTATTCCCAAATCACTTTCGATTAATAATAATAATAAGAAATCCTCTGAATCGAATCGTCATTGCAAATTATGCAAAGAATAAGACGCGTTTTTTATCATCCAAATCACTTTCGAATAATAATAATAAGAAATCGTTAAATCTGCTCGCTTGAATCGAATCAATCAAATCGTCACCGTTAATTACGTGTTAAAATTGCAAAATTATATTTTTTTTTATCATCCAAGTCATTTTCGAATAATAACAATAATAAAAGATTGTTAAATCGTGTAATTAGAATTATATTTTTTTTTATCATCCAAGTCATTTTCGAATAATAACAATAATAAAAGATTGTTAAATCGTGTAATTAGAATTATATTTTTTTTTATCATCCAAGTCATTTTCGAATAATAACAATAATAAAAGATTGTTAAATCGTGTAATTAGAATTATATTTTTTTTTATCATCCAAGTCATTTTCGAATAATAACAATAATAAAAGATTGTTAAATCGTGTAATCAGAATTATATTTTTTTTATCATCCAAATCATTTTCGAATAATAACAATAATAAGAGATTGTCAAATCGTGTAATCAGAATTATATTTTTTTTTATCATCCAAGTCATTTTCGAATAATAACAATAATAAGAGATTTTCAAATCGTGTAATCAGAATTATATTTTTTTTTACCATCCAAGTCATTTTCGAATAATAATAATAAGAAGAAATCATCAAATCTGCTCGCTTGAATCGAATCAATCGAATCACCATTAATTACGCAGAATTACACTTTTTAGAATAATAAAGAAAAAATCGTCAAATCTGCTCACCTAAATCGTATCAACCGAATGGTCATCGTTAATTATGCAGAGAATCAGGCACCTTTTTTTATCTCCCAAATCACTTTCGAATAATAATAATAAAAAGAAATCGTCAAATCTGCTCGCTTGAATCGAATCAATCGAATCATCACCATTAATTACGCAGAATTACACTCGTTTTTTACCTCCCAAATCATTTTCGAATAATAATAATAATAATAATAAAGAAAAAAATCGTCAAATCTGCATTAATTACGCAGAATCACACTCGTTTTTCATCGTCCAAGTTCTTTTCGAGTAATAACAATAACAAGAGATCGTCAAAACTGCTCGCTTGAATCGAACAAATCGAATCACGCAGATAGCCACGCGCGATTTTTATCCCCCTTCAATTCCATCAGCAGCGGGCGTGAAATATTACACCTGGCGTTAATCACCACCTCCCTCTTGCTCGATACGCAGCCGGGGCGATCCACGGGCCGGGGATAATCGCTTTAAACCCGAAAAGCCAACTTGAACCGAGCAATTATTCCGCAGTCGCCCTATTACTCTCCATTTTCGCGGCAGCAGCTATCGCTGTTACCTCGATCACCCCGTTGTTCCGCGTTTAATCATCGTAATGCACACCTTCCTCGCCTTCTACCAAATTCGCGAGGAAACGTTTCCAATCCGCCATTCCGCTACACCCGATTTCCCCCCCTAAACCGAACCGAGGATCCTATTCCGCGTTCCTTTTGCCAACTTTCGCGAAACAATCGAGCCCGTTTCCGGGGTAAAAGCCCATTCTGCGCCCGCCTCCCCTCCCCCTCCAAAGTGGAATCCGATTTCCAGGTAATGGATGGATGCTTAATCCTTGGAGGAATATTTTTTTTTTCTCTCTCTTTTTAGGTTTTCGAATTTTCGAAATTACTTTAACACTTATCTCGTGTTACTTCTTCTATTTTTTTTTTATTTTTTTTTTTTACAGATAATGTTCGATACTAGGATGTGGAAGAATATATTTGATTTTTAGAAAAGAAGAAAAAAGGGGTAGCCTTGTTGCTCGATATGAGAGAATGAGAAAAGTTTACTCTTTAAATATTTTGAGATTTTTAGAGAGTGCAAGATACGAATTTCTCTTGGAGAAAATATTACTTTTTACTTTTCTTGATAGAAGAAACGGGGATTACGATATTTTTGAGAACGCGCTTTCTGAATGAAAGCCGTTCGGTGATTCGATAATAGATGGCTTAGTCCTGAGAAAAATAGACATTTTTTAAGATTCGAAATTTCGATTAACATTTACTTTCAATTTTGATAGAAGAAACGAGGATTAGAATATTTTTGGAGAACGCGCTTTCTGAATGGAAGCCGTTCTATAATGGATGGCTTAGTCCTAAAAAAAATATTTTATTACATTTTTTTTTCTTTAGGATCGAATTTTCGATTACTCGAACACTTACACGCGTTATTTCTTTTATTTCTTTCCGCCTTTGTAGGTAATGGTTCGATACCAGGATGTGGAAGAATGGATTTGATTTTTAGGAAAAAAAGAGTAGTGATTTGATTTGATGAATGTCTTAGATTCGTCTCGCGTATTAGATACGAAGAAAGAAATTTTCCCTTCGAGAAAATATTACTTTCAATTTTGATAGAACGAGGATTAATATTTTTGGAGAAAATAACGAAAAGCGTCGCTACAGAAATGAAAAGCGGACTTGAATTAAAAAAAAGAAACGCCAAGTGAAATTAGAGAGAGAGAGAGAGAGAGGGGTAGAAGAAAAGAAATCGTGCGGTGCGAGGAAGATAAAAAAAAGCAGCAGGATAATAAGAAAGGAAAATGAAAAAATTCGTGGCACGAGTGAAGGAAAAAAAATACGAGGAAAAGGGATGAGCGAGGACAATAAAAGCGTGAGAAGGGAACGAAAATTGAAGGATGAGAAATGACGCGAGAAGGAAGAGCGCCGCGAAAACGAAAGGAAAAAGCAAGTTGTCGAAAAAGAGAGAAAAAGAAAAAAGAGTGAAGGAGGAAAGAAAGAATGAAATATAACAGCGAGAGAACGAACACGGATGGTAAAAAAAAAAAAAAGTGAATAGAGAAAACGGATGAAGGAAAACGGGGAAGGAGTGTCCAATTTTTAACGCATTAGCTTAAACTACCGCGAAAACGGTGGCAATTATGGCGACACGTTCCATGGAAAACTGGGTCGCGTCTAATTGTTAATGGCGGGATGATTTATATTTCTAATTAACCATATATATTTCAAGAGAAACGCATTTCCTCTTTTCTTCTCTGTGCAAAAACCACAAATTCTTCCACGAAATATGTGCTTTAATTGCACAGCGTGTCCCATCATTTCGATCCAATCTTTCGAACATTTAAGAAATTGTCCGTTGCTTCTTTTTATCTTCAATTTGAATAATAATAAATTCACTGTCGAAAAGTAGACACTTTTTTCCTCTCATTAACTCTGTGTCTTGAACAGAGTGTTGCTTTTCCAAAATCACAGTGATTGGCTATCTTCAAAACGATAATAAAATCGAACACAAAATTAATAAAATTCTCGATTGTGCTCTTCACGTTAAATAACCGATATTTAGTGTCCAGAATTGGGTATTAACTCGTTGAAAAAAATATTAAAAATTTCGAGTAAAGTTTCATTTCAAGTAATTACTTATTAAAGAAATATTCGTAGCTATTATAATTGATATATCTTTCAATACAAGACTTGCATTATTTTATTATTATTATTATCTTGAACTTGATAAATTATCGAAATAACTTTATTCGTAACCTCAACTATTCAATTTTCCCCGTCACTTGGCCTCTGAACGATCGCGCCCAATCCACAACACGCAAAAATACAAAGATACGAGTCTCACACTCTTGCATAACCTCAACTCAAAATTAATAAAATTCTTGATCGTTCTCCACGTTGGTGTTCCGCTAATCAGCTGTCAAGAGTGTCGAAAGGAATGAAGGAGGTGTTGTAGGCAGTAACGTTAACTTACACTGTCCGTTCTCTGCCTACGTGTATACCATTCATCCGGCACGATCGATTCAGCGCAACAGGTGCTAGCTGATCCATTCTCTGGTCGTAACAAAGTGAACACTCTGGATGCACTTTTTCGTCCGTTTCAATGCGTAATACCTTCGCCTGCGTCCCTAGTCTTTGAGTAAGTGGCGAAGAAAAGGCAAAGAAACGTTGCTGCACCGCCATTTTATTAGTCGAAATATTTTATATAATAATCAAAATTTCAACAAAGTAAATTTTTCGTTCTATGAATTTATTCTTTCGTATTCTTTTGTTGTTTGATTTATATTTTGATCTCGAAGGTTCAAAAAAATATAGTTTATATATATTTTAAATCTCTTTAATGTTTAGATTAAAACGTTTGATCGATAATTAATCAATTAATGCCCGTTATTGAAAGAAATTGATTATCGAGATTGTTTTAATCAATTAATAATCGTTACTTAATAATAAATTTTAATAGATACGAAATTATTAATTAATTAATTCGATTATTATATATATATCGTTAATCAATGATTCGTACTTTTTGATCGAATCAAAATCCTATCTGATTCATAGAAGCGTATATTACGTTAACTAATACCATTGAACCATTAATTTTCGAAATTATTAATTACATAAACTCGCGTTTTACTTTCCGTTTCTTTTTCTCTTATTTTAAAAAAATTATTCAATTTCAATTTAATTTCTTGAATTACTCGAATTTTCGAAAATATTAATTACATAAATTTATGTTTTATTTCCAGTATCTTTTTTTCTTATTTTAAAAAAATTATTCAATAATTTCAATTTCTTGAATTATTAAAATTTTCGAAAATATTAATTACATAAACTTCCCATATCTTTTTCTCTTATTTTATAAAAATTATTCGACAATTTCAATTTAATACAATTTCTTGAATTACTCGAATTTTCGAAAATATTAATTACATAAACTTCCCATATCTTTTTCTCTTATTTTATAAAAATTATTCGACAATTTCAATTTAATACAATTTCTTGAATTACTCG